ACACTCCACACCTGTCCTGTCCCCGTTTCCACGCCAGCCGACAGCAACTCCATCCTTCTAGCTGCTCAAACCCGAAACTTTGGGGTCACCTTTGGCCCTTTTCTGTCTCACACATCCCGGAGCCAATCCACTGGGAAAACGGGCGTCTCTGTCTGTAGTCTGCGTCCCTCGCTATGGCCCTGTGTTCTCAGGGATCCCAGTGGGGATCGCTCAGTGGGTTCAACAGCAGCAGACTCTTGATTTAGCTCAGATCTTGATTTCATGGCCGTGAGATCGAGCCCCATGTCAGGCTCTGCTGGACATGGAGCCTGCTTGGGATTCTCTCTCTCTCTCTCTCTCTCTCTCTCTCTCTCTCTCCCTCTCCCTCTTCCTCTTTATTTTGTTCACTGTTGGACTTAACATGATCAGAATGTTAGCAGAGGTTTGGTCTATTTGATTCACTGATGTACAACCAGCGCCCAAGGCAGACTGGCACGTGTACGGGCTCTAATATATATATACTGAATGTGTGGATCAATAGTAGACGGTACGTTTCCCCCAATTAATAGAGCACGAAGTGGCAGAGATACTGCTGCCTTTTTAAGAAATTATAATTTGATTAAATAACTTAGTAAAACACAAATCCAAATCATTAGCTTTTCTCACAGTTTTCCCATCCTAAATAGTTTTCAGTTTCAATATTCCACTAAATACTGTTGATCTTTTTTTTAAACGTATTCCTTTTTTTAAAATCTTTTTAATGTTTATTTCTGAGAGAGAGAGAGAGACAAAGTGCGAGCTGGGGAGGGGCAGAGAGAAAGGGAGACACAGAATCCGAAGCAGGCTCCAGGCTATGCGGGGCTTGAACCCACGAACTGCAAGATCATGACCTGAGCTGTAGTCGGAAGCTTAACCGAGACACCCAGGTGCCCCAGAATACTGTTGATCTTAAAGTGCCACTGATTTTGGGAAAGGAATTCATCCTTGCACACCTAACACGGCATGGGCAGGAAGTTGGAAACGAATCCAGGACATAATAGATGATGGTTTAGTGAATTAATATACATAAATTTGGTGGATATTTTGGATTTATTAAAATAATAATTAAGAATATTACGCAGCAAGGACACCTGGGTGGCTCAGTTGGTTAAGCGTCCAACTTCTACTCAGGTCATGATCTTATGCTTCCTGAGTTTGAGCCCTGCCTAGGGCTGTCTGCTGTCAACATAGAGCCCACTTTGGATCCTCTGTCCCCTTCTCTCTGCCCCTCCCCTGCTTTCACTCTTTCTTTCAAAAATAAAGAAACATCGGGGCACCTTTGTGGCTCAGTTGGTTGAGCGTCCGACTTCGGCTCAAGTCATGATCTCGCAGTCCATGGGTTTGAGCCCCGCGTCTGGCTCTGTGCTGACAGCTCAGAGCCTGGAGCTGCTTCAGATTCTGAGTCTCCCTCTCTCTCTTCCCCTCCCCTGCTCATCCTCTGTGTCTCTCTGTCTCAAAAATAAATAAACCATAAAAAAATAAAGAAACATTTACAAAATTAAAAAAAAGAACATTATGCACCAATATGAAAAGCTGGTTATGAAATAGTTTAGGTATAAAAATTCAAAATAGAATATTGTAAGATTGATTGATTGATAATATTGTTATGATGTCAACATAATGCCACCAGGACCATGGCAGTAGCCCCTCTATGTAGCTATATGCTCCTCATGTATACCTCTACAGAGAAAGGGACATATGTCATATATAGAGATATATACGATTGATTGAAATACTTCTTAACACTCAATTTAAAAAATTCCAGTTTTAGAACATGGCAATACTTCATTCGTATCCAGTAACCTTAACTGTATCAGGGAAACAACCAAGAATTAAGAAATAAGACCAAAAAGAGCACTTGATGGACTGAAGCAATTGTCACCAAGCCTCGTGCTTATGTGATTCCACCCCCCAAAGGGCAGCTCTCAGAGGGCGGGCCCTCTAGGGCAGGGGACACAGAGAGGCTGTGACAGTTGCTGACTGGCAGTGGACCAAGGCAGAGAGGCATCACGGGTATCGCAGCTGGTGGGGACACTTTGATAATAAGGCTACAGAAGCCCGACTATCAAGAGCCTGATCCCCACTCTGCCATAACTGTGTGGCTTTAGCTAAGTTGCTTGACCTCTCTGTGCCCGTATCCTCTTTCCCATCAGTAAAAACGGATGATGATAATGTTAAAGATTAAAAAGAGTTAATACACGTTTGAGACCCCACTGCACATTAAAATATTAGCTTTAGGGGCGCCTGGGTGGCTTAGTTGGTTAAGCGTCCGACTTTCGCTTAGGTCATGATCTCCCAGTTCGTGGGTTTGAGCCCCGCGTCGGGCTCTGTGCTGACTGCCAGCTCAGAGCCTGGAGCCCATTTCAGTCTGTGACTCCCTCTCTCTCTGCCCCTCCCCTGCTCACGCTGTCTCTCTCGCTCTCTCCTAGAAATAAAAATTAAAAAAAAAAAAAAAGAATAAAAAAAAATATTAGCTTTAACTACTCTTGAACACAGTCGCATGTAATACAGAATACTCAGGATAATAGTTCAGAGACAATACGCATAATCAGTCTCCAAGAAATTCTAATCAACAGTGGTTAAAATGTTTAAACATGGGTGCTTAAAGGGATAATTTCACTTGAGTTTGAGATTCCCTTATGAAGAACTCCTCTCTCTTCCAAAATGCTAGATAATTTATAACCTAAGGAAGGTTTTCACCCTCCCTCCTAAAGTCATTTAAATTGTGTTATTAACTTGCTCAATCAAGCATTCGCTCTTTCCTTAGAAACATGATTTCTAACATTCTGAAGCAAGTCCGACTTCTCCATATGGGTTTCCATACTGACCCATCGAAAGACCAATTTTTTTTCCCAGCTCAACGCTGTCTTGCTAACCCTGAAGGTCTTACAAGATGTACAATTGCCCAGACAATCAAAGGACGTAATCTATAAAGCAAAAAGCATGAACTCCACACTTGAGCGTCCGGGCAGTTAACCTTCTAACTGTGACCTTAACAGTCAGGAAATTAGGAGACCTTGACCTTTTCACTTTGTCTTTTCCAGACCTGAAAATAACTGGACTCCAGGAGCTTTCTTGCAGATCGAATAATCTATGATTCTAGGATCCACTCAGGAAACACTTATGACACAGGGACACAGGGACAACCAGAGCTGGCCCATTTTACCTCCTAGGTGCCTCTTGACTCCTCTCCCCTGCAGCCCCCTGACCGTCCTGCCTCGCTCAGGACCTGCTCCCCGGACCACCGACACGGCCCCCCGGCTGGCCACTTTGGCTCTGGGCTTGCTTGGCCCCGTCCCTCCCCCGACAGCCACTTGTGGACAGAACGTCACTCCCCGACCGCTTCAAAGACACCCAGCGCTTTTATGATGAAATCCGAACTCCTTAACATGGGAAAACCTTAGCACCGCCTGTGACAGCACCATTGCCTTTGCACACACACACACACACACACACACACATACACACACGAGGTTCTCCCTGCGCAAATGCCTTCCGCTCCTCGGCTTGTTTGCCTGGCTAATTAATGCCAAAGATCCTTCCAGATTTGGGGGCAACTGCCCTGCTGGAGGGCCACCCTGACTTCTCCAGGGGCTTGTCCTGTGGACTCTACGCAGGTCTCTTGCCGCACCGTCTTCTGCTTTTTGTCTGCAGATCTCCCCCCCCCCCCATTAGACTGAGGATTTCTTTTAGGCAAGGACCCAGTGCCATGCGTGTCCCCTTTACCCCTGGAGCGGTGCCGGGCACAGAGAAACGACTGCAAGAGTGAGGCGGCCCTGCAGCCGGACACTCACTGTGCTGCTCACCAAGTCAGAGGAATCCCAGTCTTCCTGTTCCTTCTCCTTTGCACTTCGGAAGTTTCCGTGGCCCCGGAAGCCCCAGCACTAAATGATGGCTTTCACACTATCTCGGAACTTCCCCCCGGTTTCTCAGCTGTGTGTCCATCTTCAGGGTTATATAACTGAATGGTGATGTCGTCCTGAAGGAATCCGTGAACTAATCCAGTCCCACATACTGGGAGGGGGGGGGGGACCCGGAGAAAGGCGCTCTGCACTGTCTGGTTTGAGCCAATGCCCCTCCCCAGCCCTCACGGGGGCATTTTCAGGGCTCTACAGTTCGGTGGCGGCCCAGGAAAACCCTTCCCTCGCGTCCCCTGCCCCTCGGCCCCCAGCAGTTAGGCAAGGCCTGTGGGGGCTCCAGGGAAGGGGGGTGCTGCCTTTGGCGTACCCCCCAAACCCAGGAGCTGATAGTAAAGATCTTGTTCATTCTGCTCTGCTGGAGTGAAGACGGCTGCCAAACCGGAGTGCTCATTTTTATTGCTTTTCTAGAACAACGGGGCTGTTATGACAAGTGTGCTGGAAGAGAGGATCGCGCAGCCAAAGCCAGACCCCACAGCAGGGCAAAAATAGCCAGTAGCATGCGAACTGCCTCACCAGCAAGGCAAGGACCTTGATGTGTCCGACGCACAGGGCACTTGTGAACCACCGTTTGCTACCGGTCCCACCACTTAACAGCCTCCTGCTGAGAGAGAAGAGCCAGCACCCCCTTCCCCCCCGCCCCCAGCTCCCAGCCCGGCTGGAAGGAGTCTGGGATGTTGGGCCAGGAGGCTGGGCGCGTGGCTCTAAAAGCAAAGAAAGGCGACGTCTGGCCAGAAGACAGCCCGGGAGCCGCATTTCTGCCACGGGGTGTGTATCCCCCGCGCTGTCACCCCAAACTGGAGGCGGTGAGACCAGCACCCGGAAGAAGCAGAGAGGGGGAAGATGGGGGGGGGTGGCCTGGGAAGAAGCCGCGTGATCAGCAGAGACCTCGGAGGCATTCGGAGACACGGAGACGGGGGGTGACCCTCGGGGCAGAGGGGGACAGGGCAGCGCGCATGGCGACGGAGCCTGGCGGGAGCGGAGGCGGGAGGGGGCGCGCGCGCGGCCGGGGCGCTGGGGGCAGAGCGCGGCCCCGACGGCTCCGCGGGCCCCGCCGACACTCACCCGGCTCCCGGCGCCGCCTGCGGGTCCGGGTCGCGCGGGGCCCCGCGGGGTCGGCTCCCCCGAGCCCCAGGCCGCCGACTCGGCCAGCAGCTGGTCCAGCAGACGCAGGGTCTCGTCCCCGCCGTCGGGGAGCGCCGCGGGGCCGGGGCCGGCCGCCGCCTCCGCCTCCCGGGCCTCCACCCGGGCGGCTGCCACCGTCCCCGAGACCAGAGGCCGCGCCCCGCCCTCCGAGGCGGCCCCGCCGGGCCCCGCAGGCCTGCTGTCGGGGCCGCGCAGCCGCCTCAGGGCCCGGCCGCTCCGGCTGCTGCCGCTGCCCATGGCGCCCCCGCCGCCCGCCCAGCAGCCGCGTCTCCCCGCCGCAGCGCGGACCCGGGCGGGAGCGCGGCCGGGGCGGGGACGCGGGAAGGGGCGCGGCCGGGGCGTGGGTGCGGACCCGGCGCGGGAGTGGGGGGGACGCGATCCGGGAATGGGGGCGGGGACGCGGGAGCGGGCGCGGCCGGGTACTGGGGGTGCAGACTCGAGTGCGGGGGAGGGGGGGTGGTGATCCGGGAATGGGGGCGGGGACTCGGGAAGGGGTGCGGCCAGGGATTAGGGGTGCGGACCGGGAGTAGGACTGGGGACGCGATCCGGGAATGGAGGCGGGGACTCGGTAGGGGCTGCGGCCGGGGTTTGGAGGTAGGGACCAGGAGTAGGGGTGGGGACGCGATCCGGGAATGGGGCCGGGGACTCGGGAGGGGGCGCGGCCGGGGTTTGGGGGTACGGATGCGCGCCTGGAGGTGGAGGAGTGAGGACTCTAGAGGGGCGACGGACCACCAGGGTGCAGACCTGGGCTTGAGGGGCGTGGATGAGATGCGGGGGTGCAGACCTTGCCTAGCGCAGATCCGGGTCGGGGGTGAGGGGTCCAGGCCCAGGGACGAGGGCCAGAACCAGGGGCGGCCGAAAGGCGGGGGTGGGGTCCTAGCCCGTGGGCGGTAGGGGTCACGGACATCCGGAGTGTAGTGTCCCCTCCTCAGCCTTCTTCCTTGTCTCCTCCTCCCGCCTGGGGTCGGGACCCCCTTGCAGCTCTGCGACCCGAGTCGGCCAGGTCCCGACCGCCCGGAACGGAGACCAGCCGCGTGCAGCCAGGGCTCGGGGAGACCTTGGCTGGCCTTTTCGTTCATTTACGGGAAAACACTCCCCGGGCAAACTCTCAGGCCTGTGAGAGAACGAGATGAGAGAAGGGAGGTGACATCACAGCCGTGCCCCACCAGAGCCTCTCCGAGCCTCTCAGCCCTCAGTGGTTCAACTCGGGGGAAGGGGTACAAACACCTGAGGATTAAGATGATGAACAGGGCCTGCATCTCAGTGGCCCCCAGGCCTCAAATGTCTGCCCCTCTGCCTCCCGCGCGGGAGGGACCTAAGACTGAGGAGCAAAAGGGTGACCCCCCCTCCAGCCTTTCTTTGAGCAAGTTGTGAGCTCATCACCCATGCCTCCCCTCCTGCCCCATCCCAGAGCCTGCCTCTGCCTCTCATCCAAATCCCGCATCAGAAAAAGCAACCACGGTTAGGAAAGAAAAATTACAAAAAGTGGGAACAGAGAAAGCATCCTCTCCCCTCCCAGGAAAAAAAAAAGAAAAAAAAAAAAGAAAAGGAAATACCAATAGGTACTAATCATTAATTCTAGCTTTTGGTCATTGGATAATAAAAGAAAAGGCTTATTATTCTGGGTGAACTAACCCCCAAATACGGAAACTTCTTCAACCCTAGGGATGTTATTGTTGGTTCTGCCTGTATGGGACTCACACTCGGTTTCTTTCTCTTTCCCACTTACTTAAAAACCCAATTTTTCCGAAGTAAAACAGTGCCAACATCGTGAGCCTTACTCACCCATCTTGACTTGGCATTAACTGGAATCCTGAGTTGCAGAAGGATTGGTAAAATGTAATTTAGGCTCACCTTTCCCAACCACCGACTTGAAATGTTACTGTTTTATCATTCCGGGAGGAAGGATTAAAACTTTATGTCAGAGAAAATGGAATAAACACAGAATTCAAGTTCATGTCCATTCGTTTTATTATCAACAGACCAAGGAAGGTTTTCTAACTTCCCCCCTTTTTTAAGTTTTCTTTTGACATGCAGTCTTAACCATCCAGATGAAGGAGATGGGCCAAATCGTTATTTGAAGTCATCTGGGTGTTCTAAGTCCATCGATGTGTCTGACTTGGAAGCTATTAAGTTTTCTCTTTAAGAAAACAAATCTCATCTTGAAACTCTTTAAGCCTGGGGGGAGGGGGGGCGGGGGACAGACGGAAAAAGACATTTTCTTGAACTAAGTTCAACTAAGTTTAATCATTTAAAGGAAAACATGTTTTACTTCTGCCCAAGTGGAGTCTAGTCATGTGACACATAGTTTAAATATATCCAGAGCTCCCTGTGTTCATCCCCAGGGCAACTGATGTTTCTCTGGCTGTTCTTGATTCCAATCTTGTTTCCCTAGACTTGTCTAGCTCACTTGGCTTGAGTAACAGTAATACCAAAGCCTGTGTTCTTTCCACTCTGAGACTCCATTTAAAATCAGCTACTTTATGGGGCGCCTGGGTGGCTCAGTCGGTTGGGCGTCCCACTTCGGCTCAGGTCATGATCTCACCGCTCCTGGGTGTGAGCCCCGCATCGGGCTCTGTGCTGACAGCTCAGAGCCTGGAGCCTGCTTCAGATTCTGGGTCTCCCTCTCTCTCTGACCCTCCCCCACTCACAGTCTATCAAAAATAAATGTTAAAATTTTTTTTAAATGTAAAAAAAGTTTAAAAAGTAAATAAAATAAAATCAGCTACTTTTAGGGGTTCCTGGGTGGCTCAGTTGTTGAAGCGTCCGACTTCGGCTCAGGTCACGATCTCGCAGTTCATGAGCTGGAGCCCCACATTGTGCTCTGTGCTGACAGCTCAAAGCCCGGAGCCTGTTTCAGATTCTGTATCTCCCTTTCTCTCCGTTCCTTCCCTGCTCGTGCTCTGTCTCAAATATAAAGATTTTAAAAAATTAAATAATCAGCTACATTTGAAGACCTGGCTTCCACCAAATATGCTAAAAACCCAGATTGATTTTGTTAGAAGTTTCCCATAATAAGGAAACACCCTAAGCTTTCCCATATGACTAACACCTCCTAAGATCATCTCTAGAAAGAAACAAGAATCTCTCTGTCCCGAGGAGTTGGCAAAGTCTCAGGAATGTTGGGAGACTGGAAATGGGGTCTAATCCCTCTTAAGGAAGCATGGCGGCCACACCTCTCCAGCTAAAGGCCTTCTTTATGCAGTGGTGGTGGCTGGTGGCGGGGATGGAAGATGAAACCCTGCTTAGGAGCCACAGCTGCTTAACTCCTGGAGAATAAGAACTCCCTTGCAGTGAGCAAATGGAACTTTGGAAGAGAACCGTAGCTGTCCACACCTGCGGCAAGGAGATGGGACCCGCGTGATGTTTTCCTTGGCAACAGAATGAGCCTGGTGGAGGTGAAGCGGTTCCTCTTGTCACCACAGCCCAAGGACCACCCCCCTTTTAAAGCCCAGCCCAAGCGCCCTGCTTCAAGGACTCTCCGGATCCCTTCTCCCTGCTCAGGACCTCCATAATGGTCCACCATTCCCAATGGGTCATGTAGGAAAGATATACTGGGTAGCGCCTGGTTGTTGAGTATACAGAAAGATAGTATTCATAGTCAGAAAATGATACCGCATTTGAAACACAGGCAAGCCATGTTTCTATTTTTAATGTTTACTCAGTAACTTGAGAGAGGACACAGTGCTATCAATTATTGCTGATACGTTTGGACGGCACTATCTCCTATAACTGCTATTGTCTTCTTGCACAGTGTCCAAGCTTTTGCATTTGGTTTCATGGTTTCACCACTGGGGGGGGGGGGGGCAGAAAGTAAGGAAGAGTCAACACTATTCATTAAGGCTAATTAATGAGTTACAGGACTCTTTTGCCCTACTTACTCAGAAATAAGAATTTGGGGGCACCTGGGTGGCTCAGTCGGTTAAGTGGCCGACTTTGGCTCAGGTCATGATCTCGCAGTTTGTGGGTTGGAGCCCCATGTCGGGCTCTGTGCTGACAGCTCAGAGCCTGGAGCCTGCTTCAGATTCTGTGTCTCCCTCTTTTTCTCTGCCCCTCCCCCACTTGTTCTGTCTTTCTCAATAATAAACATAAAAAAAATTTTTTTAATGAAATGTCCAAGTTTAAGTTCAAACATCCCCACAATGAACGGCGACTCTGATGTGGAAACTGCTATGTTAGGCTGGTCACTTCTGCGCCGAACCAGCCCATGGCCCCGGAGAGCTAGGAAGATGTGCTCATTTCTGCTTCTCCTGGGAGGCCTGAGAATTTTCCAGTGAACTGAGCAGCTAAAGGAACAAAGGTCTCCAGTTAAAGCTCAGGTTAAATATTAAGTTTGCTGGCCGTCATTCACAGTGTTTTAACTTGTAAGTGGTATTGAAGTCCCAGCGGGCTCATACTGATGGATGCCCGTCAATTGTTTGTGCAGGTCAACCTGCCAGGAAGGGCCTCCTGTCCAGTTCTGTGGAATTCAATCAACCACCCCCCAGGGGGCACAGCTGGCACTTCCCTGTCCCTTTACAGACCTCCGTTCCTTAAAGAAGCCTCTCCGCAACCTCATAAGGTAGATATTACCTTCCTCCATTTGATGGATGGGAAAGCTGAGGCTCAGAGGAGCCTGAGGTCTTGAAGCTATTAAGCAGCAACAGAGGGACTTGAACCCAAGTCTGTCTAGTCCCCATGGTCTTTTTGTTAAGCTAGCTCTGCCCAAATATTGAGAAATTTAGCAGAATAGACAAACTGACCCTGGTACCCAGAGCTACCACGTAAGTACGGGTGACCAACCATTTCTGTTTGCCCACGACCTATGTGGAATTTTTGACCAATGAATTGGTACCCCGCCTGTTGGGCTGTACAGATTATTTACTGAACAAAAGCGCCTGATCAGGGAGCAGGAAGAGGCTGCGGTTCAGGCATGCCCATGCACCCAGCTGTCCCCTGTGCATCAGGGTTGTGTCCGTCCCCCAGAGGAGGGCGCGCTGTGGGCTGGCGTAGGGCCGAGGGCGGGCTGTCCCAAGATGAGTCACCTCGGCACGGGGATTGCTTTGAGCTGAAGGCAATCGAGACCCTACAGGCTCTAGAGGAATTTTGCCCTTCCCTTAACTATGTAGAAGAATCTAAGAGGAACTTTCCAAAAACCAGGGTTATTACCTGAGATACATTTTATCGTGAGTGACCTAGCCGTACAGCAGGGCAAACACCGGTTTTCCAAACATGGACGCATTTTCATCTTCCTGTGAATTACGTTCTTTCCCTTTCAAGTCTGAGACCCCTTCCCTGGTCTCCTTAGTTCAGAACGGCGTGCGCACCTCTCTTTGCCTGTCTTGGGAATTTCCACGTCTGTGTGGATTCCCTGTACGTACGATATTAAATCTGCTTTCTTCCTGCTATCCTGTGTCTTGTCAATTTGCTTCTTAGCTCAGCTAGAAGGACCCTTGAAGGGGACGGGAATTCTTGCCTCCTGATACTAGTTAAGGTCCCACCAGTTCCTCTGCCATTATTAATCCAGAAGTTTAAATAGCTGAGTCATCAAGGTAATGCTCTCTTTTTTTTTTTTTTTTTTTTGAGAGAGAGTGAGAGAGCACATGACTGAGAGGCAGAGAGAAAGAAAGAACCCCACAGGGGTAGAGAGAGAGAGGAGAGACAGAGAAAAGTGGTGCTCGCCCAAAACGGGACTTGAACTCACAAACTGTGGGATCATGACCTGAGTCAGATGCTTAATTGACTGAGCCACCCAGGTGCCCCAGTAATGTTCTCATTTTATTCATTTTTTTAAACTTTTTTTTAATGTTTTATTTATTTTTGAGAGAGAGATAGAGACAGTGTGAGCAGGGGAGGGTCAGAGAGAGAGGGAGACACAGAATCTGAAGCAGGCTCCAGGCTCTGAGCTGTCAGCACAGAGCCCGACGCGGGGCTCGAACCCATGAACCGTGAGATCATGACCTGAGCTGAGGTCGGATGCTTAACCGACTGAGCCACCCAGGCGCCCCCTGTTCTCATTTTAAACTAACTTTTTTTACCCTCTCTGGCCAGAGAATTTCTCTTAGTCCCCCCTCCAGCCTATCGAAGCACAAATTCCTAACCATGTTCTTACAAACTAGACCTGCCACAGATGGTTAATGAAACTGGAGTAATGTGGCAGATCTAGAATGCTGCGTCTGATAGCAAACGTGGCCTCCTGGGTGGATAGTAGGAATGCACTTTCCCTCCTGGAATGGGTGGTCCGGGGATAATCTCCGGCCAGTGACTCGTGAGCAACATTGAATGCGTCACTTCTGGACTACAGCCATCGATTCTGCTGAAAGACCTCCATTGTCTTCCTCTGTGCCACAGTGATGGCAGTGTTCAAAATGGTGGCAGCTCTGTCACTGGGCTCCTAGAGGGGAGGCCACCGAGCAGACGCCCTGGCTAACCTGTGATGGACATGGAGCCAAGTAAGAACTAAGTGTTTGCTGCTCTGAGCCAGTTCCCCCGGGGAGCGTTCCTCACCGTGACATAATCTCGCCTCACTGCGCTCCGTGGTGAAGAAATTTACCCTTGACTCTGTGAACTCCGTGCAGGGCTCTGGAGAGTAGTACAGGCAGGTTTGCAGCTTCCAAAGACCACCCTACTCTATCTCACTGGGGTTGTTAAACAGAAATACGTTTAATAACAGGGCTTGTCTTGAATATATTCTTAGATACTAAGATTTTTTTTTAACTTTCTTTTGGTAAAAGTTACTTTTATTGTCGTTGTAATGGTTAATTTTATGTGTCCACTTCACTGAGCTAAGGGATGCCCAAACAGCTGGTAAGAACATTATTTCTGGGAGTGTGTGGGAGGGTGTTTCCAGAAGACATTGGCATTTGAATCGGCAGATCAAGTAAGGAGATGCCCTCACCGATGTGGCTGAAGATCTCATCGGAACAGAAAGGAGGCAGGGCGAAGTCTCTCAGCTTGGGGCCCCCGTCTCCTTCTGCCTCTGGACATTGACGCTCCCCATTCTCAAGCCTTTGGTCTCGGACTGAATGGTGCCATTAGCTGTCCGGGGTCCCCAGCTCGCAGACGGGAGACCGTGGGCCTTCTCAACCTCTACCAGCACGTAAGCAACGCCTGTAATAAGCCTCCTCTTACGTATATGTCATTCTTTTTTTTTAATATTTTTTTTTTAATTTTTTAATGTTTTATTTATTTCTAGGAGA